TGTGTATGTAATGTAATTGAAGTTGAAACATGAAATTGTTGTAACTATTATCAGAATATATTTTTTCTTTATTTGGTTACTGTACATGTGACTGAATTGACATGTGATCTTGAGATGACCCTGACCCTTCCTTGAAAGATCTTAACAGAGGCATGACCTCCTGTTCCCAATACACTCCAATGCAATCAATATGTGACCTTCAGATGACCCTGACCGGGGGCCTTCAGATGACCCTGACCCAGCCTTGAAGATTTTTGGGGAGGTGTTTTAGTTCCTCCCACACTCACTGTTCAGTATCACCCACATAAAAGCAGCAAACATAAAAACCTTGACCTTAACCTGCACTTGAGCATTTCTGGAAAATATTGGCCCATCCAGTTCATTTTCCAAGACAATGTGTACTGGGAAAGCCTAGCTTCCAACTGATATAATTGTCTACTGGAGTCCATGCATTATACATAGCCCATATATATGAGAAAGTGAAAAAATCCCCAATAAAAAATCATAACTTCCACAAAAATAAAGATATCTTCGCCAAATGAACAAACTTGAGAGGGACTAGTCCAGGTGTCTACATTATGGATTTCTAAGCAATGTGGCAGGTGGTTTTGGAGAAGAAGTAGAAAATGCGCAAAAATGGGCTAAATATAAAAATTGACGAAAAACAAACGGTAAAATCAACATTTTTAACCATAAATAACAAAAATATTCCACAAAATAACAGAGGTAAATGTGATGTCATGAAATTAACAAATCTGACGGAGGACCATCCCAGGTAGGTGTGGTATGAATAGCAAAGCAATCCAGCTGGTGGTTTTGAAGAAGAAGTCGTTGGAATTAAAAAAGGTGACGCAGGACGGACGATGACAGGTGTGGTCAACCCATGAATTCCGCTTGGCCATCTTCAATGACTACAGAACTAAAAGGTATAATTAAGATTTTACTCCCAAAAAACCTCTACTATATCCTTAAGGATCGCTGAACTTAATTGTTCTTGTTCCCAGACAGTAAGTTACCATCCCATTACTAAACATAGGAAGGTGGCCAATACAAAAGCAGTTCAGACATAAAATAAGTCAGATGCCTTGACATAACATATGCACAAATTATATTCTGAAAATCTGCATTGTACATGACCATTATAATACATTTAAAAGTGTCTGTGAAATGCCAACCCACACGTTTTCCATTTTAGATCTGTGTCCCACTGAAATGGACAGTTATTGATTTTGTTGTTGAAAATGATTACTCGTATCCAAGTAAATATGAAATATTTCTTGTGCTGCAGCCACACCAACCTATCCTGAAACAGTCGACTGTTTTCGGATTTCCGACTCTCGTCGAAGTTAAAGTGCACCACCCAATGCCAAAATATGAATGGAAACTATATACTTGAGCCGTACTTTTATAACACTGCGTCATACTTTTAAACGATATACATTTTTTTTGTCTATTTTTAGAGATTTTTTTCACAACAAACATTTATTATGGTTAAACAGTGTGCTGTGGGCGGGAGGAGTGGTGTACACGTTTCCAATTGATCCGAAGGTGCGACATCAGTGAAAGAAAGCCGTGAATGTAAATAGAAAAGGTTGGAACGGACCTTCTTTTTATACCATCATATGTAGTGTCCACTTTACATGAAATTCTTTTTTCGAAAAACTGTCCCCTTCATGAAAGAACAACTAGGTTTTAAAGAGAAGCGTCGCAATACCAACACTTGTTCGTTATGTAAGAGGTAGCAATAATTTTGATAGTGACGCGAAAACGAAGCGTCGGACAAGCAGTAATTATGCAGCACTTACACACTGCTAATTGTTTTCATTTTCGCAGGCCAACAGTTTCTGAATTGTTCGCTGATTGGTGTTGAATGTCGAATTCACACCTATGTTACCTTTACTTGCAGCTTGATCTGCGTAATAATTTATGGAATAAGAATCCGGGGTTGGACTGTCAATGTGTTTCAACCAAGTAAATTTCTAATATCATGTCTTAATTATAACAATCACGGTAACACGAACCCAGTCTGAATTTGGTTATATAAGTGTCGCTCTCAATTATTTTTGTTATCCAATCAAACGCCACCATTCACGCAAATGTCAATTCATTTCATTTCGGCTGTCGTTTATTTAGTAACTGTGATTTGTCGTTTTTTAAAATAAATATTTCCTTATTTTATTGATCACTATAGTTAAACGTTTAAGATATGTTTAAAATACGTTTCCTTTTTTTTTACTCAGACGATCAATGAAATAAAACAGTGTAGTGACGTGCCTAGAAATACTAAATCACGAGACAATTCTATGGAGTCAAATACGATTTTGACAAACTTGGCGATGATCAAAATAGGTGTAGAAAGTTCTGTGGAAATAGATGTCAACACTTCGACTGACTACCATATAAGTAACTGTGTTAGTCCACACCAAGCCCGTTGTAGTTCTTTCTAACTTTTTACCAACTTGAATGTTGTCCAGTGACGAGGTCCAGCGACAGTGTAAAACAGCGATCAGCTACGCCAGAAAGGACATATTTCGCATCTAACTCAACCCTATGCGACAAACTTCATATTATGTGTTCATTATGGTTCATTCTCCTCGACGAACAAGTACATGAATGGCAATTTAGTCAAAGATGAGAAAACTGTACAGTAAATGTGCCTTATATTCACGTATCGGCAATACAAGCTTCCTAGCATGTTCTCCTTCTCATGTCACAAGGGAACTTCTGTATGCAATTGCGGAGCCTCGTTTTAGAATACACAAAAATAGAGTTGCCGTAGACTGAGTTTGAGACGCATTTTGTTCACTTTAAAACATATTTTATGCTTAGAAGCATAAAAAATAATAATACTGATGTACCAATGAATGATTTTAGGCGAAATAACAGCAGCCATTTCACAGGCATTGTAAATTACAAAATGTTACATTTACCTTCTTATAATAAAAACTGCAACTAATATGGCCGCAATAACTATACAAACCATAATGACAGAAACAACAGCACCAATAATATCACCATTTTGATTTGATCTATTTTGTTCTAATAATACTCCATCTACAAAAATGAACCAAATTTACTGTCATTTCGATGATTCTTGAATGGTGTTAAATATCGATTAAACATTAATACACATATAGTATGGGGTGAGAATACCGCCAAAATTAGCTCGGTGTTATTTGTTTGGTCTTTATTTGGAAACTTGTTTGGTTATTATTTGGTCATTATTCGGTTATTTGGTTTTTATTTAAACATTATTTTGCGCTTATTCCATTATTGTGTTATTACTGCAGTATCGTATTGTTATTGTTTCATTATTTCAACTTTATTTCTTAATTATTTCATTATTGTGTAACTGCTACAATATGAATTGCCATTTTTCATTATGTTACAATTGTGTCGTTATTTAGACATTATCTTGACATTCAATTGTCATAAGATTCGGTTATTTTCACGTCCAAATGCCTTGACATTCGGTTCGCTTGACTTGCGATTACCTCAAAATTCGGTTCGCTTGACTTGCGATTACCTCAACATTCGATTACCTGACTTACATTAGCTGACCCCGCTATACATGTATTATTCAATCC